TGAGTCAATACTTCGAATGGTTCCCTCGTTAGTTTCTATGAAACAAATCCATATACAATCGAACAAGGCATGATTTTTACAATACTTAAGATACATTTATAAGTTCCTATTGATTCTAAATCAATTCATACTTGAATTATAGGGCATTATTGATAGTCGATAAATATATATGTTTTTATTTAGATGAATTAGTTAATATGATTAAAAGTAATCTATTTACATATGGTTATACTTATGAAAATTTTTTATTACTTGATAATAAAATGGAAAAAGGTAGTCAACAATTACTTATTTGTCTTGGTTGGCTTATTTATCAAATAAAATTAATTGAAAAATCTATGGAAATATGTTTAAATTCAGATTCAATATTTGATTATGATGATACAAGTTCACTTTATAAAGTAAATTAAATAAATTTTTCAGCTTTTTTTTGTATTTTTTTTTTTTGTAATAGATAGATAAAATTGAACATATAAAATATTCTTCACAAGAAAAAGATCTTCCAGGACAAGTAAAACAAGCAATGCGTCTTAATTCTAAATTACGTTTTGGTTTACGTCGTCTTCATGGACTTGTTATTGAAAATGCTAATTTACAACATCAAGTAAATAAATTCTATTTTAATTTTTTAATAAAAAAAAGCAAAAAATTAATTTTCTATTTTGAGATACATGATTCTCATAATATGTCATCACTTGAAGCACATCTTTGTCAACATCCTCATCTTTTATCGCATGTATATTGATCTTCTCTTTTCTTTTTTTTTTGAAATCATTTTATTATTTTAAGTATATGATTGAACTTGAAAATGAACATCAAAAATTAAATTTATTTAACTTTTGGAATCAACATGAAGATATTTTTTGGAAATGGATGGTAAATTAAAAGAAATTTATTAATATTTCATTTTTGAATATTTCTAGGAAAGTGTACTTGATCAAACAACAACAACAACAATAGAACAAGATGAAAATGAAGATAAATATAAACCGTTACGTCAAGTTGATTGTCAACGTTTAGAAATTGAAAAACAAAAATTTAATGCAGCTATTGATACTCTTGATAATACACTTGTACGACTTAAACAATTATGTTTAATAAATGTAAGAAATTTATATCTTAATTATTCCACAATGATAAAATAATATAGTTATTAGTCAAATAAATGCTCCGATTAGTCCATAGGCCGGAAGTTCTTATGATTATTTTTACTACTGCCTCTTTATACGTTACTTATGAGCAGATTGTACTGTTTCTATCGGAGCCGATGCATACACTTCAACTAAAATTTTTGATCTATCATCAGATGAAATTTTTTCGATGTTATTTAAATAAGGAGAAAGATACATAGTCTTCGTCGATGGATTAGAACTTGTTAATAACGTATCAGTGTTATGTTTATGAAACATGATCTAAAAAGAGTATTGAAATATAAGGACAGAAATCCGTTCTCCTACAGATATAATCACGAGATTAGTGTGATAGTTGTCTTTCACACTTACTACTATATATTACGATTAATATCTTATATTAATAGTTGGTGGAAAATCATAAACTTAAATATATCCTCTCTTTTACAATACCTGCAGCTTCATGATATTTCACATTGTACTTCCGCAGGGATGAACTCATCGGATTGTTCGAACTGTGCAATAGAAAGATATTGAAAGCTTTTTAACTTAAAGGTAGAATGAGATGAATAATATAGTTCGGGTTGAGAATACGTTTACATCACGATTTTGTTTTAGTATTATGATAAGTAGTTATAATGTACTATTACTACATAGAAATACACAACATGGGTTCGAGTATCTGATAATATGTACTGATATAACATAGAACGAAGCAGAAAAAAATAAAGGTTGCGCATATACATCGCTAGAGTGGAATTCATGCTATATGAAATAAATGATACAATAGACATAAAAGTAATTGATGAAAGCTGATTATATATGTCTATAGATTAGAGTAGACGTTGTTATGTTACAATCTTTCATTTTCTATCATCAATTTCATCACCTAATCATTAATAATATCAGGATAATCTATTACTAACGTAGAATATTCGACTAGTAATTTCTCAATTTGTATCATCGTATACATGATATTGTAGTTTGATATTTAGTTTTAAGGAGACCCCCGTTTCCAGGGTTTCCCAAGAATGACTAGTCAGAAAAATTTGAAACTTTCATACCTGATAGATTTCGATGCGTAGAGTAAAAGTTGTCATAGATTCAAAATTCACAAATGCTTCCTTCTACGAAATATTGGAGTCACAATGCCTAAAAATCGACTTTGAAATCGCCCCTCGTTTCTCAAGCACAGTAAATCCGATTGGGCTGAAATTTTTTTTTTACAGATAGTAGAGACACTTTAGGGAGATGCTCCTTTTTTTGGTTTCTTTCTATCTCGTACTGTTCGAATAAACAAGCCAAAATACGAAGAGTGTCCTACAAAACGCATGTTTTTTTGAACAGTGCTTGTCTTGTAAGTCCTGCCAAAACTCAGCGGTACAATATTCTTCAAAACAAAAAAAATTAGCCCCTCCCCCAAAGTGTCTCTATTATCTGTAAAAAAAAAGTTTCAGCCCGATCGGATTTACCGGTCTTGAGAAACGGGGGCGATTCTGTAGATTTTTGTTGAAAAACCGGATTTCTAGAAAACCACGAAAGAAAGAAAAAATCGTGCTATATCCCTACGGCAATCGATTTATATTTTTGCTTTAGAGCTATATTTGAGTTCTCAAAACGTCACCAGTAGATAGAGGGCACTTGAAAGCACATGTAGAGCAGAAAAAACAAATCATGACTAGTTTGAAAATTTTGGGTCCGAAAAGAGGGGGGGTCCCCTTAAGTATGTTTTAATGTAGAGCCTGCTAGCGCACTCGATCTCTTTCCATCACCATCATGTGAATTCTATTTCTCATAATACAAGAAAGAAAATACAATATAAAAATTTATCTCGGAATATAGGTACTATACAATATGTTAAACAACCGTTAATGTATAAATAAAAAATCAAATTTTTACTCAGATTGTATTATTTATTCAATTATAGAGAATAACATATGGTTAGGCAAATTCATGAAGATTTTACATTTTTCAATTTAAGACAATAATACTATAGGTATGCAGAGTTACCGTATCCTATGGTTAAAAAAATTTTCTCACTCAGGGTATCCAGTGTAAAAATTGAGTACAGGTTATCTCTTAACAAATATTCAAACATTATCTATTTAGATAAGTCATATTCAATTACTTCTTAATAAGATTTTGATTTGATTTGCAATATACGACAATTTTTTTTTGTTTTTTGTTATCTAGAATAATGATCCATTAATTGAACATGATATTTCATCTATAGTTGCTTCAATTGATACAAAAGTATCAATACTTTTCAATCAATTACTTACTACGAATTCATTATTATCAATAAAATCTAATTCTAATCAATCATTTTTTCTTCATAAACCATATCGTCTTGTTTATAGTAAAAAATCTGATTCAAATAATAATAATAATAATAATCATTTTATTAAACCAATTAATTTTGAAGATGAAACAATACATTTAAATACATTACAAAAAAATATTGATCAAAATATTGAAAAACAAAAAACAATACTTGAAACAATTTCAAATCAATTTCAAAATGTTATGATTGTCTAAAAAATTTTTATATATAAATTTGTCCACATAAAAACAAAAAAAAAGAATGACCAGTCAGTTCTATGTAAATGTATTTGATTTTAGATTGTAAGAAAAAAAAAAGAAAGAATATTATGGCTGAAAAATTAAATGATTTTGCTAGTCGATTATCTAAAGGAACACCAAAAGGTTTAGGTCTAGGTGTTAAATTACTTGTTGGAACATCGGCAGCTGTTTATGGTATTTATCGATCTATGTTTACTGGTAATATAAAAGAAAAAAGATATCAGATATAATTGAATTCATTTTTTGCTTGCAGTTGAAGGTGGCCATCGTGCAATTATTTTTAATCGTATAGGTGGTGTTGATCAAAATACAATTCATGCCGAAGGATTACATTTTAGGTAATAAAAATAAATGATTTATTTGATATTGAATAATCTTGCATTATGTTTAATGTCATATTGAATAAACAGAAAATATTGATGATTTGATTCGACGTTATTGTAAACTATGAGTATGTTACTACGTAGAAAAAAAAATTCTAAGTGAAAATTATTGATTGGTTGAATTACGAACATAAAAATAATTTGATTGAGTGTTGCTTTTGATTATTGTCAATAACGGAGAAAGAATCAAGGACAACTGTCTCCTTCTCAATCTTAAGAAGCTTTGCTTTATTTTTGGCTTGTCAATTTAGCGAACATCGCTTACTTTGTGTAAACAGCATATTAGAAAAGAAAACGTCGTGTCATTCTCTTTTCTCTTAAAAGCTTTAACCTTTGTGAAGGCGTACGATAATCTTTATTTATATGACATATCTTTTGAAAATTTTTTCATATAGAGTGCCATGGTTTCAATATCCAATTTTATATGATATTCGTGCTCGACCACGTATTATTAAATCACCAACAGGCAGCAAAGGTTTCTAATTTTCATTATCTTTCTTTTTCTTATTATTTACTTATGTTTTGTTTTTATTTTTTAGATTTACAGATGGTTACAATTGGTTTGTTTGTTTATTTGGTTTTTTTTTTGTTCTTGAAATATATTCTTTTGTTTTAGCTCTACGAGTTTTAGCTCGACCAGATCAAACAAAATTACCAAAATTATATCAATCAATAGGTTTAGATTGGGATGAACGTGTATTACCATCAATATGTAATGAAGTATTAAAAGGTGTTGTTGCTAAATTTAATGCATCACAATTAATAACACAACGACAACAAGTATCAAATTTAATTCGTCTTGATCTTATTGAACGTGCTAAAGATTTTGATATTTTACTTGATGATGTATCAATAACTGAACTTAGTTTTGGTCAACAATATTCAGCTGCCGTTGAAGCTAAACAAGTTGCACAACAAGAAGCACAACGTGCTGTATTTACTGTTGAACAAGCTAAACAAGAACGACAACAAAAAATTGTTTTAGCTGAAGGTGATGCTGAATCAGCTAAACTTGTAAATATTATTTTTTGTTTTTGAAAAAAATAACAAAAATCGATTCAATTAAACATTTATTTTTCTATAGATTGGTAATGCTATTAGTAAAAATCCTGGTTATTTAAAATTACGTAGAATTCGTGCTGCACAAAATATAGCAAAAACAGTATGTATAAATCAATTATTCGTTTTATTCATTTAATTTTTATTTTTTAGCTTTCACTAAGTAATAATCGTGCATTTCTTGATGCTCAAGCTTTGATGATCAATATTGCTGATCCAAAATTTGATGGATCAACAAAAGATCTCGATCGCAAACGTCAATAATTTCTTATTTGGTTTTTTTTTCTCTATTTGTTGGTTTTTCTTTTTTGCTAAAAGCAATGAACGATTTTCATCTTTGTTTGTTTTTTCTTTTCATAACAAAAAAAAAAAAAAAACGATGTTATTTGATACATATAAATCATGTTGTTTTTTTGTCATCTATTGTTAATATATAGATATGAAACATAAAGCAGCTCGTCGACGAACATATCCACAAGTCCGTGAAATAACACCTGTTATGACGAGTAAATCATTGTCTCATCATAAAGTAAGTAACAAAAACAAAGCGATATTTTATTGTTTAGTTTTTAAATTTTTAATTAGATTAATCGATCATATCGACCAACATCATTGCAAGAACAAACAATTGAAAAACAACAAAAAAGATTTGATAGTAAGATAAAATCTTTTGTAATAATTAGATGTTAAGATTAATTATTTATTTTTAGCTGTTAATCAAATATTAGAAAAAGTGTCGAGGTAGGAAATATAGTGTAAATAAAAAGATTATTTAAATTTTTTTTTTTTTTGTATCGATTAATTTAGTAAGCCAATGAATACTACATTAAATCAAAATAATAGTAGTAGTTCAATTCAAAATGGCAATGATGATGAATCTGAAGGTATAATAAAATTTATTTTCATTTTATTAAATAAAAAAAAAACAACAACAAGTGATTAGTCCTAACACGACAGTTACATATGATTGAATGTATTCGATGCATGTTTAAAACGATGTGATTCGATTAAATGTAATGAATCTCACTGGGTTCAGGCGAATCCCAGGTAGTCAATAAGCATTCGCATGTGCTTCACATAAATAATAATTGAGTGTAACTGGCAGATACTATCAGCATATTCTGCTAATCTTTGTTAGAGCATAACTGGAAGATGAATGGCTTTAACTAATGTTGTGTACTTATAACAGTGTGATGTAACTGGCTTGGGCTTAGAACCCATTGAGTTTATGCCGGAGTCAGTCAGGCTCAATGGGCTCTACTCCAGTCCGTGCGGATCCCATGTTATCATGTCAGGATTAGTACAAGGAAATTCAGAATAAACTAAAAAACTAGAAGAGTTTATAGATTTAAGAGATTTAATATATATTTTAGAATGTTCGTTATATATATTAGAATTATAGGCAGTGAAGCCTACCTTATATTGGATAAATAAACGCTTAGATAGGTTCTATTTCTATTATGGTTTAATTTTCATTTTCTTCTAATAGATGATGCGTTATTACAAGGTGTCCGATAAGTAGAAGTTGGAGCCTAAATACTAGAATAGACTCAAATACTTTTCTTCTCCCTTTCGATTGATAGATTTAAGTAGCGCATCACTTTTTTTTGCCATTATTTTCATAATCAAGTAGATTTAGAAAACATCGAGTTTTGTATAAGTAAATATCGTACTATACATCGGCAATAGCTTGTAAAACAGTAAACAAGCTCACAATACAACATTTTGTTTTTTGGTGAAACATTTCTGCTTTATGCATTCATAATGAAATGAATCTTCTTAAGATTCATTAATAATCTCTCTTTCGAATGGAATTTTATTTCTTTGTTAAACCTGCGACTATTTAAAATATATGTAGGCATATCGCAGCAGCAAACCTCTTGGTCCCGATGGTTACATTACCCGCTTATTTTTGCTGATATACCTCGCCGTTGTATTGCATCGGTTTTGACCAAGAAAAAAACGTTGTTTAAAAAATCTCTGTTAGGAACGGCAAAGAAAGCATTGCTTTCTATAAAATTTCCATTGTCATCAATCAATGATGGTCTTGGTAAGCATCTTGTAGTGTTAGTATCTGTTTTTCATCTTAAAACAAAAAAAAAATATATATATGAGACGAAGGAAAGAAATATTGTTTTAATTGAAAATTAGAATGACTAATAAATTTCATAGAATGAAAATATTAATTAATATGAAATTTTATTTTAGTTTCAATTGTTGGATATCTCAAGGCTAAACCAATTAAATTTCAAACGTATGAATTATTGTAATAATTTAAATTTTTTTTATAATCGATTTCTTTTATAAATAGACTTGATGATTTACTTAAAAATTTTCCATCTGTACGTGCAGCACTTTTTAAAAAGTATGCTTTACTTATTATTTTCTTTTTTTTTTTTGTATGTTTAATATTCAAATTAAACTTTTAGACGAACAACTACACCAGCACTCACATCAACTGAAGTACGATGTTTTTTTGATTTCAATAAACCTACTTTTTTTTTTCATTTTCATAGACTATTACATCACATTTATCATCATTGCAAATAACTCCACAATCAACAATATCTCGTATTCCATCAACAAAATCAGCTTGGCGTACACGTCGAACATATGGTATATGATTTATTCTCTTTTTTTCAGTCATTTCTAGTTCTCGAAAAGGTTACAACTGATTCGCATGAAATTTTTACCATAGACAGTACCTTGTCGGGTACCTATATCGAAGGATTTTACAAATCCGAATAGGAAGGTTGAAAATGAAAACGGCTCATTTCATCTCTGTTATCAAACTTTTAGTCCAATCGAACAAATTTAGACGGAGATCGTAACCAAATCCAATGTGATCCTATGTAAAACCAGAATTTCCCTGAAAACCTTATTCTAATGGTAAAAATTTCATGTGGATCTGTTGTATCCTGTTTATGAACCATAAATGGTCAAAAAAAGAGGAAAGAAAAAAAAAATACTATTTTCATAATATTCTTCTATAAATTATATTTAGCTTCAACTGAAGATGAACTTGCTCTTGTTCAAACAATATTAGCTGGTGATGAAAATGAATCATTTGGATCTATTGGTGATCAACCTATAACTCGTAAAGATATTCGTACACTTCGTGGTCTTACATGGCTTAATGATGAAGTAAGAAAAAAAAATTTTAATATAAAAGTAAATCAAACTATTTATTTTTCAAAAGGTTGTCAATTTTTATTTGGCACTTGTAGCACGTGAAAGTGGTACATCAGGAAATTTACATGTATACGCATTTAGTACATTTTTCTATTCGAAATTAACTAAAGATGGACCAACACATACAAGTTGGGATCGATGGATGAGACGAGGAAATGTAGCTTTTTTTGATTATGATCTTATTCTTATACCTATTCATCAAGGAAATCATTGGACATTAACGGTAACACAAAAAAAACAAAAAATAATATTCAAATCGAATTTGATTTTTGGTTTTGTTTTAGACAATTGATTTTCGTTCTCGTTGTATTGGATATTATGATTCATTAGGTGGTACAGATGATATGTGTTTAGGTCGCATCTATGCATTTGTTGAACATATGTATGTAACAAAACGACAAACAATATCTATGCCTGATGGTTGGCGTGTACAACCAATGAATATGATACCTGAACAAGCAAATGGTAGTGATTGTGGAGTATTTGCATGTCAATTTGGAAAATATTTAGCACGTGAATGGCCATTAGATTTTACTCAAGCACAAATGGCACAATTTCGTTTACAAATGATTTATGAAATTTATACAAAACAACTTATCGTTTAAAATTAAACGACGAAAAATATACAAAAAATGTGTTTTCTTTCATTCTCTTTTCTTTATTTTCTTTCTGTGTTGTGTACAAATTGTATTATTTGATTTCTATTAAAAACAAACAAACGAAAAAAAAAGTAAAAGAATAAAATTCTATTGGAGATGTTTATCTTAACATATATTTTTCTTTAAAAAATAATTAATCATAATATAATTTTACAAACAGAAATTTTTGACTTTTTCTATCAAGTACTGTTATCATTAGCTTTAAAGATATTATTTGTGATCGTAGGTGTAAACCAATGCATTTGTTAGCAGCTGAAATTTTTCGATGAATTTCTTAAATATTTTCTTAATTTCAAGAAATTTTGAAATGAAAAATAGAGACAACGATCATAGAGAACTTATTGACAAGAAACAAGACAATAACATCTCCGAAAACTGATGTGGGATGTTAGAAATTTTAAAAAGTCAAATATCTATTTTTGTGTCGCGACAGCTGAACTATAGTTCCGGTATTTTTATCAAGACGACAAGATAGTAGTCCATATTCCATCGTTTCCAGTTCGCTTAAGGCCGCCCCCCTCGAAAATCGATTTTCGTTATAGTACGTAGGAATTTCACGAAACTTTCTAGGAATGTTCGGCTCATAGTTGTACATATATAAAAAAATTTTTAGGGCTCTAAACCTTACCGTTCGAAAGATTTCGAACAATCAAGAGGCAAAATAGGGCTTCCACGGGAACAAGGAATTTTTCAATACACTTCAAGCTACAGCGCCCGGGGTGGTCTCATTTGAAAGAGAACTCCTTGCTGCTTCGGATGAGGGAAAGGATTTTTTTAATTTTAATTTTATTCCATTTTTTCAACTCTCAAAACCTTAAAGTTCTAAAATTCCTAGCCAAGGTTTCCTAGAAAACCTTTGGTTTTTTCAATATTAAGGGTCGAATACAAATTTCATTTCCCTCATTCGAAAGAGGATTCATCAATCTATTGAATAAAAAAAACGCAGTTTGATGCAACGAACTATAGTGAAAAAAAATTTGTTCGGAGTTTCTCAGTTTTGCCAAAAATCAGTTTTATATTGTATATCAATGAAAAGTCCATCAGACGTCTCATCGAATAGACGTACAACAACATGCCGTGCCATTGTTTGTCATTATGGACGATAAAAACAAGTGGACCTATAAGTTCTCTATAGTCTCAGGTACCATGTTTTTTGCTAGAAAGCTTTAGAAGTTCATCGATTATTCTAAAGAAACCTTTCGAAATTAGAAGTGCCTTTTATGAATTTTAAAACTAGACACCTTGAAGGTGACATCCATATGTTTATCTCAAAAATTGAACTTTTTTAAAAAAATCGATTTTTGGAGGGGAGAGGGGGAGGCGGCCTTAAGTCATTTGGTGCTGATTCATTCAAATAAGCTTGGGAAGAAAGCCATAATGATCTTTGTCACTCATATAACATTGATATTAGTAATTCAATCGATATCAAACTGTGCGAAAAGATGTAGGTGATGTCATGCACACTGAGTTACACAGGCGAATCAGACGAAAAATGTTTTTTTTTTTTTTGCGATTCACTTTTAAATCGATATATTCGATATATAAACTTAATTGCTGATATTGGAGAACACGATTGATTTTCAACCAAGATGAACTTTGAATACAATGATTGAGACAATTGGTCACATACAAATTACAATCATTATAAAATGTCAAACAAATTAAACTGTACAATTGATTTGATGTTCTGTCCGACTCTATTTTCAAGTTGTCATTCAATGATATGTATAAGAATCGAAATGACAATCAAAATCTATACTATCTTTTTTTACTATAGATTCATAGACACTTTTATGATACAAATTTTTTTACCTTTTGTACTATTTAATCCCGATACAAACAAGTCGATTGTCTGTGAATAAGAGAAAAACCTCTACGTCTTTGTTTACAATTCTTTTACGTATTATTCTCCTTTTCAGTATATTGTACCATTGATTTGATGAACATAGATACCTTGAAAAATATTGAGATTATCGTCCGTCAATCCGGATCCATCTGTTTTAGATAGAGATAACTGTTGTTTTATTCGTTCTAGACGATCATTTGACTACCTTGCATCTAATTGTCTCTGTCATATAGACATTTTTCTGGTTATCTAACCAGATACTGGTGACATTTGTCATCTACTTGTATACTGAATGATGCTCCTTTGATTCATTTTTTTACATAGTCCTTGAGTTGAAGTGTGATATCGATAGTTGATTCATTCACATCATCATCATCAACATAAATGGTGGCAAGAGCTGACATATTAGGAACTACAGTCTTACTTGTAGTCGATAATTCATTTGGTTTAAAAATTTGAATGCGATCATTGCCTAAGTTAGTGACGTACAATGAATTCGTTTGCTTATGGATAAATATTTCATGAAACAACTGAGTTGATTAGGAAGGCCTCCTTGTCGGCTCATACCAACTACTGTTTTTGCTGTTTTGTTTCATTTCACACCAGGACTTATCTTAAGCAATGTCACAAATAATGAGTAACACTGGATTAGAACTTAAACATGAAAACCACAGAGACATTAATTCAATTTCTATCTTCACTATTTAACCTACCAGTACAGATGAAGAGAATCTTTATTGTTGAAAATAATAGATGCGATCCAAAAAAAGATAAAGAATGTTTTGTAATATAAACACATCTAATACACGAGAATAGATGAAAGATTTTAGTAGCAGAGATAGATAAGATATATTATGTACATCATTACACTCTATAAAATCATCGGCCAACGACATGTTAACCTATTTTCATGGAAAACTCGTGCTAAGGCGATGTCGATAAAATGTACTTTGCTCATATATATCTCTTATCTACCAAAAAAAGTATTGTTTAATGTACTCAAATAATTCGTCTCTACTAAATAATTGAATAACCAAAAGGAATATATTTGTTCCTTATCAATCTAATCTGATCATTAAACCATGCTCATACTTTTGTTTCAAAGAAATATTATAAAAAAATTATAAAAAACTAACATACTAGCTATAATTAATTAGAATATATCTATGATAAGAATAAGTTTATGTGATTATATGAAACAGCAAAAGAGCAACTGTAAGAAGATTGAAGAGAAAAAGAAGAATTTTCTATTCTGATAATAAATGAAGGGGGTAGTTGTAAACAAGTATTATATATCCTAAGTATTTTTTATTTTTCTCATGTTAAAGATTGGAATTACAAAGTTCTTTTCATCATCATAATTTTATTGAATATAAACAAAAATATTTTCCCTTATAAACAATGAGCTAATTATTCCGTGTTTAAACATTTTTTTTTTCTTTTGAATAAATATTTTTCAATCATCTTGTTTCTAATTATATTTAAACAAGTTGAATCAGTTGATTGAACTTTTCGATTTAAATGGTATCTAAAGTAAATATTTTTTCAAAATATATTATATGTGATGGAAACGATATTTTTATTTCTATTTGATTGTTAACTAGTGATATCTGACATAAATTCTTTTGCTTCTTTCGTATCTTTTAGTATTCTTTATAAATTCGTCATTATTAGTTCGTTTTCTATTCTTATTGTCTATTCATTTTTGTCGAGAAAGAAACGATTTAACGCGACCAATCGTGTTAAAATTTACACACTTTTTTCATAGAGAAAAACTAGATCATTCAGTTTTAATACATTATAATCGAAAGTATAATGACTAAGAATAGTCATAATCGATTTATAATTGTTTATTATTAACTATAGTTCTCCTATGAATTCCTAATGTTGAAGATAATCATTTATTAAAATATCTTTTAGATTAATTATAATTAGTTTCTATCGAAGATTCGACAAAGCATATAACAAATTTCATAAACACAGATTATTTGTTTTTCGTTCATTTGTTTGTTTGTCTTTTATCATATTGAATTATATCTAGTATATCATAATGTTTGTTTTTTTAGAATTAAATTTGACGATTAATTGAAAATAAAAAATGTCAAAGAATGAATTATTATTAGCTGTTGAGTCAAATAGTAAATCAATTAAAATTATTGAAAATAGTTGTGAAGAGAATCCTCCATTATATTTATTATATTCAAAATAAAAGTTATTATTCTGATTATGAAGATGCTAAACAATCATTAAAATTAAAAAGAAGAAGAAAATTTAAAAGAATTTTATCGTGCAGCTATTTGTACATATCATCTGGATTTTATTGAAAAATCTCAAAAATTTATTCAAAAATCAACAAATGATCATCAACAAAATCTTATTGATTATCTCAATTTAAAATGATTAATTGAAAAGAAGATTAAAATCTATCAATAGAGGGAGAAAACCAGTTGCAACAACAAAAAATGTTTAAAAAAATTTTGAAGAAATTATTGCAAAGTAAATTAGATTTGGTTTAATATAAAAGTTTTTTATTTTTCTTTTAAAGATGAATCTTGACGTTTGAAATTTCATCTATTCTTTATCAAATTCGTTATTTATTATGAGCATTTTTTGAAAATTAAAAAAAAAAAAAGATAAAAAATTAATGAATATGAATACAGAAAATTCTGATCGATGGAAAAAAAGTACCGAGTATATTTACACAATCAAAAGGAACAATTAAAGATTTAGAAACAAATAATAAATATAAATTTCGTATTAAAGCTGAAAATATTTATGGTATTGGTGAACCATTAGAAACAACATCTAGTATTACTGTTAAACCATCTTATGGTAAAAAAAGAATTCATCTTTTATTCTTTTAAAACCTTTTTTTTTCTATATTTATTAATTATTTAGATGCATCTGATGCACCTGATACTCTCAAAATAACAGAATATAATGCCACATATATTAAACTTAAATGAGAAAAACCGAAAAAAGATGTTGGGAATCTAATAATTGGTTATAATATTGAAATGTGTGAAAAGGGTAGTAATAATTGGATACCAGGTAACAGTTTTTCTACTAAAGCTACTCAATATACTGCATAGAGTTTACATGAAGTTCAAACATATGAATTTTGTGTTGCTGTTATTAATGATGTTGAATTAGGAATACCATCAAAACCAACAAAAGCACAAAAAGCTGAAGTACTGATGTATCCAGCTGATACACTAGATCAACCAAAAGTTTTTAAAAAAATTATGAAAGATTCTATCACACTTTCACGGAAAAAACTCAACAAATGATGGTGATAGTCGAATTACTAGTTATATTATTGAAAAACGATCACCTGATAGATTAATTGAAAAAAATATTTCTTTGTTTATCTAGTCGTGATTAGACTGAAGTCACAGAATTACCTGCACGAGATCATTCATGTACTATTCTGAATTTAAAAGAAGATGATGAAATTTCATTTCATGTTCAACCTCTCAACGTAGTTCATCCAAGTGAGTCAAGTCGACCAACAGATGTAGTTATCATTGAAGATCATATGGGTACACATTCTTCTAGTTTCATTATCAATTTACAAATCGAAGTGTAAGTTTTCCAGTCCTTTTTTCTCTTTACAATTAGGGTCAAAGATTAATGAGTACATTCAAGAAAAGAATTAAGCGATGGAGAATAAAAAAACCTAGTCTTAATATATGTTGTTACTAGTGCCCGGCGTGACCAACTTTTTTGATCACGATCACGTCACGGGCTGGGCTCACTGTGACCATGAGTCACGGTCCTTCTTTCTGGTTCCTCAACATGGAAAAAAAACTTTCCAGAAAGAGCTAGTGCAAAGTTTCTGTTTACTGTTAAACGTGATGATCGGGGAAAGGGTAGCTTCGTGAAAGTGCTCATACTCCCCCTCAAGAGTTTCCAAAATCACGAATACTAGAAACTCCCCAATTTTTCACAAAAAAATGATGACCAGGAGGAGAGACACAGTGGACATAAAAAAAGGGACAAGAGCAATTTCTAGATACCGAATAGCTTCTGAGTCGAGACTCTGTGCATTATGTAGGCTCTAGTGAGCTATAACCACCCTGAAAAAGTTCGTGCTTCTAGCTTATTTCTGTAGAAATATTTGCTTTTTACGGCATTTTTTACCACAACTCCGTGATCCCCTTCAGATTTACGTGAAAAATCAACTTTAGAATTTCGACTTGAAACTTTGTGCAAAGAAAGATCTCAATGAGACTCGTTTATTCTGAAAGTTTCAGATTTTTAGGTTTCCTCTATCTCGAGATACAAGTGTTAGAAAAAGTACCCTTCTTTACATTACTTATAGCACAATATGTTAAATGTTCATATTTAAGGATAGAAACAACCAATGAATTTGAAACTTTCAGAATAAACTAGTCGCATTAAGACCTTTCTCTGCACAAAGTTTCAAGTTGAAATTTGAAAGTTGATTTTTCACGTGAACCTTAGGACACCACGGCATGGTGCCACAAGATGCTGTAAAAACTCAAATATTTCGACAGGAGTTTAAGTGCGCATCTTTGGACATCCATTGAAGATAGAGGATGATATGCTCTACCGAATAACATACTAAAACTTGCATTTAAAATCCCGCAAATGAACTGCATTACGAACCAGTGAATATTTTTCACTATGATGATGTTAAGTTTTTGATCTCATTATAGTCTAAAGAATTTCAAGAAGCCCGAAACGGCCAGTAATATATAGTAAATATATAACACTGTATAACTATATAATAACTAAAAAATATAGCTACATCGTCAATTTAAAATATACATTTTATATGGTTCCATTAATAATATTTACCTATTTTACGTACTTCGGGGTGCCTACTATTTATTGCAAAGTCGCTGTAGAGCACCATCCAAGATGCACTTAAATGCAGGACTATAATAGCTCCAGTGTTAGCTATGATATGGGTTCGAATCTCGGAAATCGATTTTGTCGCCTGGCTGTCCACTGTGAGGGGTAGCTTCGCGAAGATCCCCTACTTCCCCTCAGGGGTTTCTAAAATTTCGAAAAAGTTCCCGTGGCTGACCGTGATCAAGCTCCAGTCACGGCCACGATCTTTGAAAAAAGTCACGCATGGTTACGGTCGTGACCGTGACTCACTGGTATTCACGGCGGTTATGCCGGACACTAGGAAGGACGATATACTTTAAATTAGAGACCACCAGTAAATCAAATTTATAGGAGAATAATTCATATAATCTTTTTTTTTGTTTTGTAGAACGATGATAGTAGTAATGATATAAACGATAGCGTTGTTGTAATGATGTGAAGCGAGAATAGAAAAACATTGAATGGTACTCATCCAAATACAATTCTTGATATTGTTCGAGAAGTTGCATTCAAGTATTTTATTTCAAATCATTGTTTTTCTTTTAAATGCTTTTTTTTCATATTAAATTATTGTTTCTTCCTATGGAAGAAGAGTTCTCTGACTTCAATTTATTTATGTTTTAGATTTATATATATTTGTGAACTGATTCAATATAAAAATCAATATGACTTCGGTAATTGAGAAGAATGTCAATTATTCTTTTGTATGTTTATCAAAACTCATGTTCATGAAAAACGGTTTTATATGGAAACAAGAATTAGTAACGTTAATTTTTGTGTTTTTATTTTCCTGTTTTCATGAGAACTTGTTTTCTAGATTGAACAAGATGGTAAAATTAGTACAACTTACCAAAAAAATAATCGTGAATTACGGGTAATGCATGAGTTTTGGATGGATGCATATACCATTAGCTTTAACGTAAGTACTGAGAAAGTCATATAACCATTTATTCGAAAAGTCGTCTTTTAGTTATCGCCAACAAAAAATATTCAAATTATGAAATCTACGTATTGTAACAATGGGTAATTTTAAAGCTATCACACCTATACAATCTAAAATGCTTTTATTTTTGTAGAGAACTAGTTAACCGTGAAGAATTGTATCAATATTTGATCAGAAGAATGAAAGCGACTTTGCCCAAGGTATTCATGATTGAAGATAAACTCTTATTGCCCTCGGCACCTAAGTGAGTATCGAGCTGTTCATTTTGAATGTTTATATAAAACACATTTCTTCTACTAGTTTGTCTTCATATGTGTATATGGATATTTCCATTCAAAATAAAATAATTGGTCGTATTATATTTCAGGTAAAACTGAGAAATATCTTCTTCAAAAATAAATATTTGTGGATCTTTTTTACAGCTCTTCCAGAACGTTCCAAAAACAGCAGGTATATTAAAAAAAAGAAGATTTCCTCGATTAAAAAAAAAATATTTATTTTATTTTCAGCAAATTTTCGTGGCTTATGTATAGGCGAAAATTTTCTTTGCTATGTAGGTAGCAAATTCAGTCATGTATTTCCGCAATACATCATTAGAGGTAATGATTTTTATTCATATTTTTCTTTATTATTATTATTATTAATTGATTTCATAGGTGGTGATATTCAAAATTTGTAAGTTAATTACAAAATGAAATTTTATTTCGTACATATGATTTTCTTTTTATATTTAAATAGTGATGGTTCAGGTGGTGAAAGGTAAATTAATCATTTAAAATATTTACATATGAATTATAATTTTTATCTTTAGTATATTTGGTAAAACATTTGCTGATGAAAATTTCAATAACAAGCACAATAAATCTGGTCTATTATCAATGGTTAATTTTGGTCCAAATACAAATGGTTCACAATTTTTCATTAGCTCAATTGCATTACCATATTTCGATGATACATATGTAGAATAACGTGTTTCATTAAATATTTTAATTACTATTTTGTTTTTTCTTGAAGGTCGTGCTTGGTGAAGTTATTAGTGGAATGGATGTAATCAATACGATTATGAATTATGGTATATTTGACTAATATTACTATAACAAAACCTATATTAATAAAGTTAGGTACAGTTACAGGACAACCAAAGGTGGACATTATGATTGTTAACTGTGGAATTATTGATAACAATTAAAATTATTTTTTGTTTATTCTTACCACATGAATGTATAACACTTGAACAAGAAGAAATAAAAATTTTATCAAAAAAGAGATTATTTGTCTGAAGAAAGACAAATTTATTAATTAATTTTAGTTTTTCATTTTACATTAGTAAGAAGGATTAGTTTGTTTTTTTTAAGGAATATTCAAAAAGGAATGCTTGACATGAATAAATAATCTAGAAGAGACAAAACCTTTCTGAGTTGACTTTTTGGAAGCGCTATAGAATAAATTTTATTAATGTGAACTTCATAGTATGATCAAATGATAAAAAGAGTTTGATGAACATAAGGATGCATCTAATGACGAATTTAGAGTGGGATAAGATGATAGAACCATTCATCATTGGTGCTTTGAGAAAATTTTTTCGTTTTCTTCTAGCAAAGTCAAACGACAAAAACGAGTTCATACTACTTCAGATTAGAGATGTATGCGAGACTAAACAGAATTTTCTAGTTTCATTCAAAGATTTGCTTTCTATTTTATGAACTCTATTCATAAATTATTGTTTGATCACACACATTGTCTAGAGAAATGTTTGCTCTTTCTGCTTGTATATTTTAAAATATTTTACAGTTTCTTGTTATCAAATAATTTAGCAAATATAATGACCGCGAACAGTTTGGTCTCGGTCTTGATTTCAGTAGTGGTCTCAGTCAATTCTGACACCATTTTCTATGATTATGACAATCAGTATCTATTTGCATTAGTCTTATTTTGTAGAGGATTCATTTGTTTATAAAACATAGGATCTGAAAGTTTACTACGTTTCTAGACTATAGAGATATTTTCAATTCTATGACTGAGACTACGATTGATCTTGAATGTGTATCTTTTAGTTTGAATGAGATATGCAAGTTTCATATTTTAGATGTAAATATGATCATATGAACAAAATATCTTTTTCTTTTTCACACATAATTAAACCATCATTTCTTGATTTACATGATATTAAAGATATAGCAATAAAAGTTGGTCAAGATTTTCAATTACATATATCTTATAAAAACTATGCACGAAAAGCACAAGCAGAATCGTTAATTGATAATACAGAAAAATTAGTTAATGATGATCGTGTTAATGTTAAAGTAAGATTCAAAGTAATTATTTTTATTAAATAAATTTCTTTCTTTTAGACATTGAATAATGTTCTTATGATATTGAATCGTAAAGCTGAATAATGAGATGCTGATACATATAAATTAATTTTAAAAAATAGTGAAAGTTGAAGTTAAAATTCAATTTCGTGTTAATCTTCTTTCTCCGTTGTATCAAAATCAGAAGGTCTACTCCAAGCAACAAATGTCACTGTGTGAAAGGATGTACTTTAAATTGGAAAACACCAGTAAGTCAAATCTATAGAAGAATAATTCATATAATCTTTCATTTCTTTTATAGAAAGACAATGATGATAATAATATAAAATATTATGTTGTCGAAAGTTGTGAAACAGAAAAATGGACAAAAGTTGGTTCATCTATTTCAGATAGAACATATGATATTAGAGGTTTCGATGATGGAAAAAATTATTAATTTCGTATAGTTACTGAAAATGGTAATGGTATTTCGGAATCATTAGTTGTTGACGCATCCATTAAAGCTAAATGGTCATTTAAACCACGTATTGCATCAAGTACATCTAAATGTGCACGACATACACGTAAATCAATAACATTACAATGGTCATAACCAAAACAATGATGGTGAAAATCCAGTTCGAAGTTATGTAATTGAAAAGAAAGAAAACGGAATCGATCGATAGATTTCGTGAGAGAGAGAGAGAGAGAGAGAGAGAGAGATAAAATCTGATTTGATTAAAAAGAAAATTTTTTATTTAATGTAATTGTGAGCAAATCTCAAGTATTGAATATATAGTTCCAAATCTTGTTGATGGAAAAGAATATGAATTTCATGTTGCTGCTGTTAATAAAGCTAGTCCAAGAGAATATGGTAGAATAAAAAGGCAAAGTTTATTTCAGAATATTTTATTGTCAATTGTTTATTTTCTAGCTAAAACTGATGAACTAATTCAAAAACGTTCACCGGATGTAGTTTCACATGCTGTTGATTAGTTTTAATACATTTAATTCTAAACAAATTGTTCGTGGAAATGAAGATTTGAAAATTTCTATTCCATTTATTAGTTCATCAGCACTACAAGTGATATTTGCTAAAGATAGTGATGATATTAAACCAGATGGTAATATTCAAGTAATAGTTAAAGATGGTGTTGCTGAACTTCTTGTACCAAAAATGAATGGTAATGATAGTGGACTTTATTCATGTACGTTAAAAAAATCATTTGAGACAAGAAACTGTACAAATAAAAGTTGTTGTAGTTGATAAATTACGTTTATTCAATCGTTTTATTTCAAATAAAATAAAAACTTTTCTTTGTTTTCTTTTCGACTTTTACATTCTCTAGAAGGAGCATTAGATGTTACTGATGTAAAACCTGATTCATGTGTATTAACATGGAAAGTACCAAAAAAAAAAATGATGGTAGTGCACTAATAAGTAATTATATAATTGAAAAATTTGATAGAAAATTAAAAAAAAAGGTGAATAGCAAAAAGTGTCAAGTTTTTGTCGTGTACCATTTTATGAAGTCACTGGACTTAATGAATGACTCAGAATATAAATTTCATCTATCAACTAAAGATATTTATGAACAAAGTATACCATTAGAAAGTGAAAAATCAATTATTGTTAAAAATTCATTTAGTAAAATTATTTATATTTTGAGAATTATTTTATTAATCAAAGATTATTTTGAGATATGATAAATCCAAAAAAGATAAATACCCTT